CTTGTGGCAACACGTGAGCCAAGTCTCTGAATCATACAGAAGCACTGTTGAAGATCCACATTGTTATTTAGTAACAATTCGAACACATAAATGAGATAATCTGATTGATAGCCAACTTATCCATTCATCATCAAGAGGTCATATTAAACTACAGAACCAACCAACCAACAGACCAAATAGCAACCTTATTATTATTACTAAGCATTTATTGAAGAACACCACATAAACGATAAAGAATACAATAGAGACAAGCCCACATACATACACACGCACGCACGCACACAGACACACAGACATATATCGACATTGTTATTAGTGTGGTATGTGTGTGTGTAAGCTATTTTTATGACAGAGTGTAAACAGTAGGAGAAATTACACACTTTTTAGCCCTCATCATAATAGTAATAACAATAAAAAAAACTTAGCCCTTCAAACATAAATAAATTAATCTAAAAGCACAAAAAAGAAATAAAAAGAAGGCTAATATCTCTTATAATCTTCTTCAATATTCCAGATAGACAGATATACATTTATGATAAGGTTAAAAGAATCAATTTCTACCTTATCGCTCGATAAGAATTGGACTGGACTGGACTGGATTGGAAATGTGTGTGGTGTATACGTGCGTTTGTACGTGTATTTGACACACACACACACATTCGAACAAAATCGATTAGTAATGAAAACAATAAAATTTCTAGTGCTTAATAGTCCTTTCTTATTTTTTTCCCCGCTACTGTAAAAGGGTATCAAAACAGGCTTGTAACGTATGAATTCCCTTTCTGCGTTTTACACAACTTAGAAAAAACGGGGCAAATTTTAATGCTGAATAAATATCGAAGTAGTTCAGTCGCCTTAATAAGTCAGAATAGCTTTTTTTCACTTGCCAGGTAACAGACAGACTTTAATGTGTCTGCGCGTGTGTGTGAAGATTGGATGATACTACCCTACTGACTGGGCTGCATTAGCTGAAATCGGATTCGGACCCGGGGGCCTATTAGCCAAGAGTCAAGTGCTTAAGCTAATGGAGCCAGACCGAAACAGTCGTCAGGAATTTGGATCACTTCGATAATCAGGTTAGCAAGCACTATCGGTTGATGCGGTTGGTATACGACTCATCTCAATCAATCAGTAGTATGTAGATTTTACGCATAAAATCAATAACCACCTACAAGTCTATATGGGTCATCCTAGACATCTCTACATCAGACATAATATCTAACACCCAGTTGGTCATTCATTAATTAATATTACCACGAATGGGATATCTAATAACTATAATGAACACAATTGTTTTGATTACCATCCTTTAAAGGTCACTCAGTCTATACACTTGGCACCAAGTTACACGTGTTGCAAGAAGCCTGAAATAAGGCTTAGAATGATAAACAACAGTGTCTAAAGCTCAAAAAGGAACAAGAAAAACAATCCCAGGCCACATTAGCAATCTGAGCTGGAAATATCCCCAACTACCGTATTAAGCCTTTGGGAATGAACTAACTAAGTCTTGGAGGTTCCGTTTCACATATATTGTGGTGAGAGTTGGTTGCTAGCCAAAGTTGGTAGACAGTAATTGACGTCAATCTGTATGTCCCCAATATTGGTGGTGAGAAAATGACAACAAAGGCTTTGCGTAGGCGGATACAGTTAGTATATGGATGATCTGACACAGCCACAAATAGATGCAAGGTTAACTTTCTGTGAGAAACAACCAATCAAAAGACTGTATTTTCTACTAACAATAATCTACAATAATGTACATTAAAATCTATAAATATGTGTTGATTTTCCTTAATAAACGATCTGTTGCCTGACCCTTGTCTTCTGTTGTTACAATATTACCTCATACAAACACAATAACTGTGGCTTAAAGTGTTGTACAGAATACGCTTGAGCAGGATAAATATATAGCATTTTTATGCTATTCAGAAGTTGGAGACTGATTATCGACCACAGCAGTGCAGATGCATTTGAAATTTTGAGAATCCTCATTCAATTTTATCAGATACTTGTCTCTCTAGCATATTTTTCCTTGGAATACTGTCACACAACTTATTCTGGTTTCTGGTTGACTTCTCTTTGTTTCAATGTACGCATGTGAAAAAAGCTGCTTTGTATGTCATTTTTGAGGTTTTAGTCGTTAGTCATGCGTGAATAGATCAGGGGTCATTGATCACTTGCTAAAGTGTTTCGATTATACGTCAATATTACTTGCCACTGGTTGGTGATCAGCTGATACTGAATTACGATTGACCTTTCAGAGGCGGGGAGGGGGGCTCTTCACCAATGAAGAACCACTTTCAAACCCTTCTGAATGTTGTAACCTTATTACCTTGGACATGTACCATGTTAAGAGCAAATAGTATTATGTAAGGGCTGATAACACAACATAGTTACCATGGGAATTGCAGCCTAGAAGTTATTTCAATTTTGGCCTGGAATTGACTTCAGATAGGGAACCACACATTACTGGACAATGGTTTCGTCCTTGTTTGGGACGCCTAGTCAGTACGTGTCTATGACTTCACCAGGAATAGAACGTAGTAGCTTCACATTAAAAGAAGTCATTATCAAAGAGTCGAGTGCTTAAACTAGTGATATAAATCTCCCCTGCCCTCATGCTGCTAGCTGGCTGGATTCAACATAGAACTTGGCACCGAAGTGCAGCAGTTCGAGTTGCCACGTTCCAAATAGCACACAAAGGTAGACAGGAAAATGAGGGAAGAGAATCAATAGAATTTAGATAAGTATAAGAGTGGAACAGAATGAGTAATGGTAGAAAGGAATATGAAAGATTACAGAGACTGAATACATCTGCGTAAGCCATTGACAACGATTTTGAGCCATGTCGCCTATTGTCTCCAGCCATTGATTCTTAGAGTCCCGAGGGCGGGCCCCAACCCGGAAGTCTGCATCTCCCTACCTGACTCAGTTTAACTGTCAGGGATTTCATGGATTGATGCCATGTTTTTGTTTGGCCACCACTTACTTACTCTTTTCCAACCTGCACCTATATCAGCTAGTAATGCCCATCCGTCGGGGGAGGCGATGGTTAGGCATGTGCAGCACGTCACCTAGCCATCTCAATCTATGTAACTTTAAAGCCTCTTCGATTGATTTTCCCTCTTTGCCCAACACTCTACGCCTAACGTCAACATTGCTTACCTTATTATGCCACCTAACGTGAGAAAGAGATCGTAGACATCTATGATCAAAAACAGTCAACCTTTTCATGTCTTCAACTCGTATTGGCCATGTTTCAGAGCCATAGAGAAGGACGGAGCGAACCACTGAGCAGTACACACGTCCCTTGGTTGATAGTCGGATGTCACGCCTACGCCAGAGATGGCGTAAGTTTAGCGAAAGCAGCTCGAGCTTTTTGGACCCGTGCTGTGATTTCGTCACCAATCAATCCGTTGGTGCTGATACAACTTCCCAAATAGGTGAAGTGGTCAACATGTTCTATCACTTCACTCCCTATCACTAAGCTTGGAGTTGACGTAGTCCAGTCCTGTAGCAGCATCTTACATTTTACAGGGGAGAATCGCATGTCAAACATACGAAGATTGGTGCTCAAGGTGTTCAGAAGACTCTGCATTTTGTCAGCATCCTCCCCTAACAGGACTATGTCATCTGCATATTCTACGTCCATAAGACTATTCCCTGGTATCAAGTCGATTCCTAAGTCGTTAAGTTCAGTTAAGGATACTTCCATTAGCATGCATAAACTATACACAAAGAGTGTACCTTAGGCCGTGTTGATTTTCGAAAAAATATTGTGTGTGTGCGTCAGTAAAAGATAAAATGAAGTAATAGAAATGAAACTCATACCACCTGATTCACCATACTATTTAATATGTGGACCCATTATTGTAATAAGATAAACCATATCAATCTTTGACAACTAAGGAGTTTAGACACTATCTGTTAGTGTGTAGGTCATTCAGTCAAAATCCAGCTTTTTTCAAGTACTCTATCTTGACAAGTTTGGGTAACGTGACCAAGGTCATGGACTCAATATCAGGTGTAATAAGTAAATATTCAGTGCTCCCTCTTTTGTAAGATGTTTCAAGTAAAATGTCAATCCTTTACAACAAACCCACCTAGAAATCAAGAGTGATTTCTTACAAATTCAGTGTAGTATATAATACAGACAATCAGAAAACAAGTACACTACTAGCAATCTATGATGGGGTAGTAAAATACAGGTAGCGGTCGAAATAACTTCACCACAGTAACAAGAAAAATCAGAATACAAAAAGGAACATTCGAGTTCATACGATGAAACGAGCTAAACTGATTGAAACCACCGAATGCCATCGTACAATCCACAAAACCTGCTTTCTCATTGACTAAAGAACTCCGTCCAGCCGATGAAACACTGGTTTGAGTTCCACTTCATCTACTTCAGCCCTGGGTAACTGGGTAGCATCATTAGCCCTCATATGATGGATGTGGGACTCAGCCTGATACACGAAAAATCTGTTCCATGGTTACTACAGTGTCTATTCTTGATTCCCTTAGTTACAATCAAGCATCTCTTTCAATTACTAGATGAACTACGCAATAACCCGACCGAAAGCTGCTACCTTGACGTGGTGGTCGGGCTTGAACACCGCAATGACCCGACAAGCTATACTGGCTGGAACTTATGTTCCTGTAGGTCCTACCATGCCAGAAAGGTTGTTTGGATAGCGGTTAGACAAAAAGCTATGACTCAAAGTAAATCACAAAATATCATGCCGGATCGGTCGGGGCCCGGATTAACAACGACCGCGCTTCCTGCTGCCGTGTGACAGGGCAGAAGTGATAAATGTGCTACTGAGACACACCAAATGAAAAACAACAAAAATCCAGCAGCAATAACAACTTAAAATACTAATCACACAATCTATATGACTAAAATTCTTACATAATGATTACAAGATGATTCAACATATATGGATATCGACTGGGAGCTGCAGAGAGAGAGAAAAGAAGTCTATACAAACTCTACTTACCTGACCATTTCTTCTCAAATGAATAAGTGATTGTGCCAGATCTTTTAATTCATCGCATAAATTTAGTATTATTTTACAATTTGGATTAGTTGAATCTAAATTGGCTAATTTTTGAGCAGAGTTTAACACTTGATTTAATGCTTTTTCACCAGCAGTCATTGCAGCAGAACACTGAAACGCAATAGGATTAATATAAAATAAAACAAAAGTATTAACAGTGTTAAAATAATGAATACACTCTTAGTAATCATACATTTTTATAAAGCATCATTTTGCTTTTACCTTCCTATGTATTCATCAATAAAATAGTTGTGCAGCAATTATGCTTGTTGCTATTATTGTTAAAACACAAACTTGGTACACTATAAGCACCAAGAGATGCATCACACAGAATCTCATAGTTTGTGCAAGGTTTGGAATGGTGTCAGGACACCCAAACCGAAGGAGGTGGCTGTCTTAAATGACCATTCCCCAGCCTCTGTGTTGAAGTCTGATCCACACGGTGATGGAGCGACGTCTGGGGCTACGTTCCCATAGTTTCTGATGACTAAATCAGGTTTCTACGACAATCGACCCCTTCGGATTCCAAAGCCTATATTCACTATATAGATAGATAGACAAGCATGTGAGGAACATCCATGCCGCGTGGAGGCAGCAAAAATACGACTTGCCTGGCAGAGGCTGAGAACACGTGGTCACATGAGGGCATTCCGAGAGGAAGACCGAAATCTATCCAGCCTCGACTGTACCAGGCCGTTTATGGGGACGCAATTACATTTAATGACTGTAATACAAAAGTCATTATAATCAACTAGATACATTCATGATCACATCAGGGAACACACAGAATAGTGAAGTTACATCGACTGAGGTGGTTAAGACATGTGTTACGAATGCTCTAGCCATCGCCTTCCTCGACTGACGGGCAATGTTAGCTGACATAGGATGGATCAGGTTGGAAAAGAGCCAGTGGTGGTCAAACCAAAACATGGCCTCATCAGTCAATGAAATCCGCAACAGTTAGTTTAAGCCAGCCACGTAGGAAGGTATAGACTTCCTGGAGGCTGGAGACAATCGGTGATATGGCTCAAAATCGTTCTCAATGGCTGGCGAAGATGCATCCACTCCTTGTGACTTATAATTTCCTATGAAACTATATTGTTCTTCGTTATTACTATTCCCTTGTCTCATATCCCTGTCTACTGTCTCTATTATGCATTTCTTCTTTCTTGCTTTGTGTGCTACATGGAGTGTGGCGACTTGAACTGCTGCACATCTGTGCAAAGTTCTATCTCGAAAGCAGACAGACAGACATACAGAATAGTTAGTGGATGATAGCTATAGTGATTCTAAATTACAACAGGAATGGTAAGTTGGCACATTTCTGTTTTCGGCAATCATAAATCTTGGTGACCAAATATGTTTATCCATCTGAAAATTAGTCATATGTTTGACGTAAAGGCTGTTGATGATTCCAAATTGTTACTTCAATCTTTATAAGCTGTATGGATTTTGAAATTACAATTCATTGCAGAGAAGTGAATATGTCGGTGAATTATGCATTGAAGTTATGAGCATGGTAATGTAAGATAACTACATGGCTATGTGTTTTCACTAGGAGATAAATCAACTCGCAAACAAAAGAGAAAATGAAAGTTATGTGTGGAGAAGAGTAAACTTTTGATGATATTAGATAGTTGGAGGCAATCAGCCACAGGAAGCCTTGGATCTAGGTTTCGTGCTAGTTGGCACTCATCAGCAAGGCGTATCTGCAACCTTGAAGGAACTCATGTCCCTTCTGAGATTCGAACCCGCGTCACCCAGTGCTGCAGTCAGAGACGTTACCACTGAGCTATTCGGGCTCGCGATTGACCTCCTGTAGGACTGTAGTGAGTATTTTGATTGGTTGCAGATACGCCTTGCTGATGAGTGCCAACTAGCACGAAACCTAGGTCCAAGGCTTCCTGCCGATTGCCTCCAACTATCGAATATCATCAAATCAATGTGCACCGTGATGGCGAGCTACCTAGAATGGTGGCCACATTGCAAAACCTGACTGGTAGAATTCAGTCTGTACCAAAGAAAGGACTAGACACGTCACACTAGTTACTAGTGTCCAATCAAAAGAGTAAACTTTATTTATGCGGGCTACATAGACTTTCAACAGTATTTTTGTATCAATGAATTGTGCATTACGAAAATGATTTTTTTTTAAACTATCCACTTGTGTAGGAATCTGCTAAACATCAGATATACAGGTAATTTACTTCCATATTTGTTCATTTTATTTCAACAACTATATTCAGACAGTGTCATATTAAATATCAGTGGGGAAAAATTACCAGAATGGTACCGCGCACAAGAAATTCTAGCAGTGAACTAACCAAAAACTTTCTACTCAAAAAAATATGCAAAAGGAAATGGAGAAGGATTGAAGATACACTGAGACAAGAGAATTATATCACACGCTAGGCACTCGAGGGGAATTCGAACAGATAGTTACAAGTGGGGTAGTAGAGGTTGACAAAAAGATCATCTGAGGATGAAATGAAAGTTAGTGGCTAGCCGTAAAGCCAGCTCGAAGTGATACAAGATAACCGAATGCAATGGAGATGTGCCGCCAAGGACGTACGTTCTACTTGGAACGCAATGCTTTTCATCATCTACCAGAAAATTTACAATAAAACGCAATAAGAATGATGAGACTGGGTATTTCTGGTAAACACTATCAGTTATCGCCTAAAAGGCTTTATACAGAAATTTGAGTTTGGTTTGAAAGCTGCATTTACGCCAAGAAAGATGACAGGCTTCAAACTTCCATGAGTATATATTTCTACCAGAATCAATCAAAGTAAGAAGATATGAACGACACACTTCAAATATGCCTAACTTTGTTAAGCTTACTCATGATTATAGATTCCAAGACTTTACATCACTATATCTGTCAGGTTAGTCCCCTGTGGTTGGTGGTCTGCAGGAATTGAATCGAGCATCCACAGTTCTCTATGGAATAGAATTAGTCCATGAAGTCCATATTAGCTTACAGCCAACCTACTGGTTGTCCCGTTTCATATTTAAGACATAATTCATAACTTTGCTCAGGTTTAGAGAGTGAGTAACATTCCACTCACAGTTAGAGTGGAGGGTGGACAACTTCAAGGCAGCTGAAGTGCTCTTCAAAGTATTTCAATAAATATTTCAGTTACTTTTAATCCCACTTAATTTTTTTTCAGAGGCGGTTTCACTAACCACCACAACCTTTTTTAGAGTCTTTCTGTAATAATCTTGAGTAGTTGGAGGACATTATTGAACTCTGATGCGCCCATCACCGACAACTCTTCAAATTAGCTACCAAAAACTTCCAGTTAGTTTACGTTTGAGCAGTCCTCATTTCTGGTAACTTATGGAGCCCACTGGAATTGAATTTGTGTTGATGATTGTGGATAAAGTTACAGAAAATCACAAACACTCTATGACTTCCGTTATTCTCAAGTTTCAATCCATCACAGTGTCGCCACAGCAGACTGAATATGATGTTAAAGTTCCTTAGAATGAGTATCGCTAAGAAGCTCAAATAAGTAGTTAAAAAACACGTGAAATAGATACTTGAGATTTTCATCTATAAGTTGTGCATGTAAGAACTCTGTAAACGCTTCTTTTGTCAGTTACAGACAAATGCATATCTTATTAAAACCATACACTTGGGCTACAACAAACTTCCTACTGGCTTTCACCTCCGGGTCAGTAACTTTAGTCCAAAAATTATTTAAATGATATCAACAAATGGTGTCTATAAAGTGTACGTAGATAAAAACATTTCCTGTAACAGAATTCTGACAATAATACGATATGAAAATCAACACCACATGTGCCCACCACCCATTACCATTTTACTATTAACCACAGTTGAGTGTACGAATTGGATGACATAAACTCCAAGAACTAAAGTACTTGAAAATCGGAAGTGAACTAATTTATGATTGTGATTAGACATAAATAAAAAACCAGTAATCATCTAGTCTCGACCTGTTAAGAACCTAAACGAAAGTAGATTACGGCTTATATCTATAAGAAGATAAACAGATGTAAAAAAACAGACAAAAGTATAAAGAACAAACCAACTGGAAGTTCATCTATGTTAAACTAAGTTCATAAAATTGCTTAAGACTTACATTAGAATCCGAAATCCAATCATTTACGAATTGTAGACGACTATCGAAAGCCACTTTGTTCATATGCATAGCTGCTAAATCATCATCGAATAATTCTGATGAATCTGTTTCAGTAAGCTGCAAGCCCCGTATAATTTCATGTATTTCACTGGACATCTCAGATAACAAAAAGTCTCTATTTGCTTGACTTTCAGCTGCTCCAGGTAAATCTATGCATGGTTCAGCAGAAGTGTATATTACGATCAATACAAATAAAAAATGTGATTAGCCATAGTTAGTTATGCTTAGTCATGTTTATTTTAAAAAAAATAAAGTGTTTTGTAAACACATGCGAAAAAGCTCGCCAAGCAACTTTATATAACACTACTTAAAGTGTACAAGAAACCAGGAAATACATCCGCTCAAGTTTTATCCTTAACAATACACTTTTATAGCAAATGAAATGCAGAATGTTATTCTCAAATTAACTGTTGAGTCAAACATAATTTTCACTTAACAAAAACGTCATAAGAAAGCCCTGATCCCAGGATAAAATTAACAGGCATAAAAGTAAAGTGAAGAAAACTAAGTTACTGAATATTATAGGGATATCACGTCAATAGAGGATCTGAGATAAAAATGATACAGTTCTCAAGCTATCAGATGAAAATAATCGTTGCTCTAGAAGAAGTAAGCTGACCGGTAGAAGAATATGTGAATAGTAGTAAGTCAAAGGAAAGTGCACTTTTAAAAAAAAATGAAACAAGCATTCGTCAAATTAAAGTTTATAATACAAGTTTTGCAAACAACTTACTATTATTATGCGTATTCACACAAAGTTTTAAAGACGATATTAAAATTGGTGTTAGACGCTTAACTTGTTCTATACCCCTAAGCAGTAATGCAGAGTGAGATTGAATAGTTAGTTCTTCCTGTCGATTATGAACTTCTTTGATCATATCGGCCATACAAGGGGTTAGACGCTAAATATTACAATGGTTATATCAAACAAATACCTTGACAAAATCTGCCAAATCTGTGAGGCTTGAAACCCGTTCTGCTGTAGCCAGCACAACAAGCACCCTTCTACAGTGTTCAATGATTTTCCGAACCTCAGACATATCAAAAGTTAGAAGTACAGATGATGTTCCCTGCAGAATTCCTAAGAAAAGTGAGATGAAATCATCTTACCTCTAGAGCCTTCTATCAAGTTTTTGCGTGCCTCAGATGAGCTTGGATCTTTTTGTAATAGCACAACTGCTTCCTGGAGATAAAAAGATGCATCTTCGACGCGTTTGAGAGAAGGCGGCATATCTTTCTGAAGTAGCTGGTCATCGCTGGCTTCGATAGTTTGATGGCCAACCTATATTGTTGTTTTTTTAGCTTTTATCATGTACCTTTATAAGATTATCAACAGCTAATTTGACGACATTCACGCGAAACTCGAGATCAGGGATTTCAGTACCTGATCCGGCATCTTCAAACAACAATATAAGCTTCAGAACCTGAATTTTGTCCCTTAAGTATTATAAAAACATTACCTGCTGCGCGACAGGACTAAGGATACGCTCAATCGACTTCGTGTGGAACGACATCAAATCTGAAAAGTAACACTCCCATACAAAAGACGCGGTTGGGTAGGACACAGGTTATATCGTTTTTAGTTTCCAATATTCTCTTTACGAAATAGCGTAAACTCAAGCGATTTCTCCGATCTCGCACCTGGATTGTGACGTAAAAGTTGTTGATTTCTGGTAAGCTTGTACTGAATTTTTCATGACATTTCTTGTGCGGGAAGTGTCAAAATGATTAGTGACGATTTCCCTTCCAATATCCAATATCCTGATTACGAGCTAGTATAAACCAGTGATTTCTTTGAGCTCGCTTCTTGATTTTAAGGTAGAGGTTCCAGATCTTCGGTGAACTTATGCGTAGTAAATCCCGCCACTCGACTGCTTTAGCTCTGGTCGACTCCAGGAGGAGTGATGCGAGGATTGGTCAAGATTGTGGTTTGTAGTGTGCAGTATGTTAGGACTCAGCTGCTGCCGTGAATGGAGTTTGACCTAACACCCGTCGGTCATTCGGTATAGTCATCAAAGTAGAGTAATAATAATAATAATGATAATGATAATAATAGGTTGTAGTGTAGATAATATAGGTTGAGATAAGTGAAATAATAAAGAAAGAAAGATAAAGAAAGAAAGATAGAGTAGTCGGTACAGTGGGAGAAGACAGGACGGGTCGTGAAGATTTAGCTTGTATGCTTGTCCATTGACAATGTGGTTTCAAATTTTAAGAGGGTAAGCCATTGAGACACAAACCATGCATTTCTGCATGATTGTCCAGCTTCCGCTTAAAAATCTCCACAGATGGAGCTGTAGTTACGGCCGCCGGTAAAGCGTTCCAGAGACGGCAAACTCGAAGCGAGAAGAAATGTGAACGCACTCGAGTCCTTGGTCTCTGGTGTGCTATCCTTAGCGGGTTACCTCGTGGAAGCCTATAATCACTTAATGGCAGGATGCTCTTGTTAGGATGGGCCTGGTCATTTAGGATCTTATAGACGGTGATGAGGTCTCCCCTGTGACTACGGTAACTAAGTGTGAAAAGACTTAATTTCTTCAGTCTCTCCTCATATGATTTGTTGCGGAGGCCGATCACCCATTTTGTCGCTCGTCTCTGGACATTTTCTAGCATGTTAGTATCCCTTTTGAGTAGCGGAGGAGCAATGATATTATGCACCTCAAGGAGTGGCCTCACGTATGTCGTATACAACGTTAGGAATAGTTCAGGAGTAAGAGCTCCCAGTTGCCTATGCAGAGCGGTAGGTGAGGAATATTTACCTGAGCTGTTTTGTGGAGGCTGACATCAAGTTCTGCAGAGTCCTAAAGTCAAACGTATATTCTTGAATTCTCATGAAATAACGGCAGCATATCTTGCCTATATAATGAAACACGCAAATATATAATGCTTGAAGCAGAAATCATACACGAAATAATCACCCACCTACAGTTCATCTCTAAAAATAGGACAGTGGATAGATCGAATCCACATATATGACAATTTCTCTGTATCGACTGCGTGTTGGAATAGAACCCAGGAAAAGCTCCCAGGTACTATTTCAGAACTAGAGGTCAACTAATCGTAAATTCTGAGCGTCTTCAGAGGGATGTAGTGTTAACTTTAACAGAGTTGATTTACTCTGAGATAACGGATTACACCAGTACGGACTACATACAGTATGTCTAGATATACTGTGTTTCAGATATTTGCCTACTGCATTTGAACTGTAGTGGTAAATAATTCCCCAAAATTATTGACCACAGCAATCATCACTCAACATTGGATGCTGACCCTCACTGTTTAAGTCGACTTGTTTAGCTGAAGACTTCCGGTCAAGCATCCGCGCCATTTGGTACTCCGTCGTGTCACGTGCGTGCACGATTACTAGCTAGCTAAGCATTCACTTCTACCCGCGATTTGGTCCCGAAATATACTACGTACTTTGGACGACTAAATCTGGTCTTTTGCTTTATCTTTGGTACTCGAAGTGCGAACACTATAGAAGTTGTTGGTATAAGATCTTGCGTTAGTATAATCCGTACAACTCGCGAACGTCGATACCTGCAACCCCTTAAGAACAAACAGTGCTTTTCTTACTGGAACTTTGCTAATAAATACTCATGTTTTATATGAAAAAACATGGCATTTAGACCGATTATCCTAAGTTTTATTTCTGTAGCGGTGAATAATTCCATAAAATTATTGACCACTGCACTCATCACTGAACATTGGATGCTAACCCTCACTGTTTAAATCGACTCGTCCAGCTGAAGGCTCCCAGCCAAGCATCCACGCCGTTTGGCACTCCATCGTGTCACGTTCATGCACGATTCCTAGCCAGCTAAGCAATCATCTCGCTTTCCGATTTGGTCCCGAAATATATATCTCGTAATTCGTACGATCAATTGTAGTCTTTTGCTCTGCCTTTGGTCTACGCGGAACGAATATTATAGAAGTTGTGGGTATTAGATCTTGCATTAGTATACTTCGTACTATCCGTGAATGTCAATGCCGTCAACCTCTAATGTGTTCTCCTTACCAATGGTTATTAAGCTATCACATTAGAATTGAGGGTGTTGTAAGGCAAGCAGCCATCGGCCCACTTCCTATAATAACAATAAGGTTCAAAAAGGAACTCGCTGACTGAGACAGCATACAGGGCTTCTCTTCAATATGAATAAAAGTATTCAAGGTTCATGTTACAGTCGCTGCACGAATAACGCTCTGAAGAAACGGACCCAAGTGTCTATATACTGTCAGCTCCTCATTAACTCAGGAGTGAGCTGCAGTTGCGAATATTTCTATACGGTAGACAAGCTGCAGCATTTTTGGTATGTGATGCAAGTTAAAATACCCAAAACATTAAGTCTGCTGTAGTGTTACCCTCGGCTGCGTATGTACGAATTCTCACAAGCTTTGTCGGCATCTTCACTTCAGCACATTCCTCAAACACATTTCGTATTTTGTGTGGTCATAATGCTGCTCTTAAAAGAATTACTATCATTTTGTGGTCCACACCGAATTAGTGAATTGTGGTTGCAATAAAGTTCTGATGTACTGCAGTTATTATCATGATATCGCCAAAGACAAAGCCCAGAAGACTATGCTGTGTTCCTAGCCTTGTAATCCTCAAATATCCAGTGATTGATTTCCTCGTTACTCCAAATCTAAACGAAGATGGGCCAAATCGTTGAAGTTTATCTAGCAAGATAATTAAAAGACACTGACCTATTGAAGTCATTCACACTGAAATTGAAAGTCAGAGTGAACAGGAGCCGCTTCATCAAAATATCTTTCTAAACGGCTTTATTCGTTCACCAAAAACGATTAAACTGCGCGACACTGTGTTTTCTATAAAAAGACCGCTTTCTCACTGATTTGCGAAATAATAGTAGTGCACTTGTTATATTCGCCAGTCAACAATGGGCATACGTCATTGTACTATCTGAACGAGACAACAGTCACTCCATAATAGAAGAGACCAAAAATATGATGACGCAACAACAACAAAATAGATGCAAATGATAAGATAATTTGATGAAGACTGACCAGCATGTTCAGTATGGGTAAAAACGACTAGGAATTATTAAGTATGAACCCATGTGAACAATTAGGAGCTAGAGTTAACTCCTTTACAAATCTAGGAAGTTCACCGAAGAATCTATACCCGCTTGCTGGCCAAAAACATCACTCAGTGGCTTCATTAACTGACGTACTCCTCGACCTGAACGTCTCGAAACGTGGTAACCATGGTCACATACAAAAATGATAAATTCAGTTCCCCTTGAGTATAATCTGTTTTGATGGGAGGAAAGCCCTTTTAATACAGTTCACAGTCGGTATATCCAGATGTGATCCAACTTTTTAAGGTGGTAGTACCACTGGGGCCTTCCTATTTACTGTGAAGTAGGTAATTATAAAAATTAAACTGTAATTTAGCTTTTCTAAATTTGGCTGTTCGGGTAATACGCACTCCATAAACTTCGTGTGTACCTTTTCGTTTCGCATCGTGTATACTGACTAACAGTATTTAAAATCTACAATGGAGTGGTAGGTACACAATTGGAGTCAAGTTTAGTACAATTCAAGCTTCTTATAGATACGTTTTAAATCCATGAGCAGTCTTACACAAACTCTTAGACTTGCAAAGTGTGCCATTGTAAAGGTGCAAAACAGTGTGCGTTCACGAGTGTAGATAAATCTGTCCGGTAATAGATTTAGGGGCGACTCAAGAAGTATAGGTCTTGATATTTAAGACCGTTATTCTGTAGAAGACCTTAGAATTAACAAATTTATTCAGGCTTGGAATAATTCCTCTTGTTTATTTCAAATCTTTAAATATTCCCATTTATAATATTAGAACAAGACATATAAGCGAACAATATTGTTTTCAATTAGATCTTCTTCAGGCTTTACTCTAATTTACATAGATTTATATATAAAATTTTAACCAATGACGGTGATTTTGGGAATCAAATAGTAATCTTAATAATAATAATCTTAATAATAATAGTAATGTGGTAAATGTTTTGAACGTAGTTAATAACGATTGGTCAGATGCCTTACGAATAGAGCAAGACTTATTTGTACAGATGACTCCCTAGAAAATGAGCTAGGATATATCCAAAATACGCTGGTCCAAATGGGTTATCCTAGTAGATTTGTTAGGAGACACGTGAATACCAGGTACAACAAAGAAAAACTGACAACAGTTAAAAAGAAAGAACTGTTCATGAAACTTCAATTTAATGGGGACGTGGCTAGTGAAGTCTTACATCTGAGATTATCGAGAGCGATAAAACGGACTTATACTGACGCCACCCTTTGTTTGTCAATTTCCAGCCGACCAATTTTGATTGCTCAAGTGAAAGATAAGCTACCTAGTTGTACCACTTCTATGTGTATCTATAAATTTAGTTGCTCCTGTGGAGAAAGGTATATAGGGCGAACAACTAGACAGCTCAACAAACGCATTAATGAGCATCTTCCTTCATGGTTCGGAAAAGGTCAAATAAAATCCATTCGAAGTTCTATTTTGGTTCATTTGATTGATAGCGGTCACCAAATGTACAAAAATAGTGCTTTCAAAGTTATCTATCGTATTCCATCGAGTCTTTCGAATGGAATCAGAACCCGTCTTTTACACCTAGCCGAAGCTATGGGAATTCGAGAGAACAATCCTAGTCTTTGCATACAAAAGAAGTTTTTTCTACCTTTGTCTCTCCCTTGGCCTAGGTGAATTGTAATAATAATAATAATTTTATATTTTCATATAAATATAAATTTACATGAAAATGCATGCCATTTTTACAGGCACGATCAAGTATGATACAATGTCAAATAGTAGATTGTCTACAAGTTATAATGTTTCAATAGCTAAATATTTGATATATGTATAAATACACTCTTGTCTGACGCATGTCGTATCATTATTGAATTAAACAGTAGTCCTCCAGGCTGCGAAGGAAAATCGACTTCATTTCGTTTTCAACCCGTAGTTGTAGGCGTACGATAACCAACCAATATTGAGGTAAGTACAACGTTTACAAGAAAAGTAAATGTGCTAAAGTGAATCATTAAAGTGTAATGAAATAGGTAAATGCAATGTATCGTTAATATATGCATTCATAAAGGAAATACAATGGGAGACTATAATCCCTAGGCTGACAAAGTTCATTTGCAATGTATAATGCTACCCTATAGGTTTTACTATCACGTTGTCCACTTTTGGTTTAATACAATTATCCACAAGCCGGTTGTTTTAATTTCATACCTTTTTGTGTATTTGGTGCACAACCGTACCCTATAGAGAACAGGAATAAAATAAGTCGAATCAAATTCATAAAGAGCTATAAAATGTTAGGTTTAATGGAATATAATGAGCAAGTGAAGACGTAATTAGAAAATGAATGAGATGAGACATTGTTAAGTGATATTCGAAGATACGACAAAGGAAAGCATGTCAATTTATAAGATGCCCCATAAATCTGTGCAGAGCCTACGTGGTCGCATCTCAGCAATAGGCTGACCGAATGGTATATGTTTAAAGGTATAAGCATGATCTGTCCAGGCGATCATTATTATCTTATTCAAGATTCAAGCCCTCATAAAAGTTTCGAGCCGTCAAATTGCATATTTCTGTTCCTGCAGAATGGGGCGATTCGCCTTAGTGTCCACCACCATATCTACTGATCAGCATGCGCCACCCTCCCTCCTTTTATGATGTTAGGCTCTGATTGTTATGGCTACAGCAAATATATTGCTTGATTCCAGACACGTTCGTACCTCACATTCCATTTGCCTAGCTTTCTTAGTGAGTGCTTCCAATAGATCTCCACATACAGATTTATGAACATATTATATATGTGTGCATGCGTCCTAATGAACAGATTAGTTTATAAGATGTTAAACCCTTAAAGAGTAAAAAGAATATGTTTTGTGAATAGTGGAGCAAGATTCAGCAGAACACTATAGTTAGAGTTCAATGTAGGTAGTATGAACTGAAGGTAAGGTCGGTTGGCAGGATTTATTGTACTAAATTATCATGACAGTCTTTTACATAGTAAAAATTTGACATTGCAAAGTAACCAGTCTACACATATTATAAAACGATATTAACACAGAACCAACAGAATTTTAACATTTGGTTAACAATACCGCAGTGTGTGTATCTAAGAAGGTAGTTAGAATTTCTTGAAGTTAGTTTGTTCAGCTATATGATTAATATTTCACGTATGAATATTAATTAAAATTCTCTAGAGGAGCTTACCGTACATGTATAGGCACATTCTCGGTTTCCAGCGTCCAAGTGGGCATACCGCACTTGTCTGGGTTGAAAGTCAGTGCACTTTCGCTCCAATCGCTAGATGATCCAAAACCCTCCCACCCTTTCTTATTTTCCACCTCCTTCGTACTTTTATAATATTTATTTAAAATCTGATTGTCGTTCCATTTCACCTTTTAAGATTTGACCTAATTTATTTATACACTTATATACATATAATATCTTTGTTATTCTTATCGCCAGTACGGCATCATCATTATTATAAATATATACGTTAGTAATCATTATAATAATCGTAATTTAATACAATACATATTTTCCTACCACACCATTTATATAAGTATTATTAAATTATAAGTTTTTTTTTTATTAATTTATTATTAAGATTACTATTTGATTCCCAAAATCACCGTCATTGGTTAAAATTTTATATATAAATCTATGTAAATTAGAGTAAAGCCTGAAGAAGATCTAGTTGAAAACAATATTGTTCGCTTATATGTCTTGTTTATTTATTTTTATTTTTTATTTTATTTTGATTACAGCTTGATGCCACACCGTATTTTCAGTACAAGTATGGCATTTTCAGCATGGATATCGGTAGCCCAAATTTCACAGGCCGACCATAGATATCGGGTGTGCGTCGGCGGGGGATCGAACCCCGGACCATGTGCATGGTCGGCGAGAGTCCTAACCACTTTCACTTTCCTAACGGATGGTTGTTATTGTAAAGGCCAGTAAACTGGCTGTCGCATTTTACTGTAGCTGTAAATTCCTATAGTACCTTCCTATTTCATTCAAATATGTATATCATTGTGTGGGGTAAGTAGTATATTCTATTTTCATCATTTGGAGCGGCGTTAGCAGCAACCTGCTAACCAGATTGAGAAAGAAAACGCCATGCCGTCATTCAGATCTGTGACAAATAGGTAGTCCTGGCGAGGTAGATTAACACACAACAATCGTGACGGTTATTTCTAGTCAAGGCAAACAAGCAAAGGAACTCCCGGTCATTCAAACAGCAAAGGACGATTTAGTTCCTCTGTTACAACAGCTTGTTTCGCGTAGTTTCAAGGAGAAAATAAATTCCAAAGAACCTAGTTGAAGGTGCAAAACATTAAGTTTCAAGTAGTAGGTCATACTGTGTTGTGAAGTTCATGCGCAGATACCTGGGTAAATGAAAAATTGGGTATAGTTCTGCTTCATTGCACTTCCAGTTTGCCATCCCTGAAGTGCACTAGTAGAAGGCGGCAAACAGAGCCTGGATATTTCTGTAGAAATATGTGGGCTGAGCAGTTTCGGCTGTCAGACCAACACAAGTGGCACTGCTAAGATGGGTCTTGAATCGAACACGACACTTTAGCCTCGCTGACACCCGCTAATTCCTCCTTGTCTCCCTCTTTCTTTAACTCTGTCTGCTCATTCAATTAACGTTATTTTAATTTTTTGTTTATTTTTCTACCAAAAATTAATTTTTGCGGTTGACATTTACATTGTTACCAGTATGATCTCCAGAAAAGCGAAAGAAAGCAGCTGCAAGGCCCTAACACGAACCCAAAACTACTTTTCAAATAAACTACCCTCCTACTTTTTATATTGTCTTGTAAAGCTTCTGTTGGTGATTGGCAAAACTGACTTTGGAGTAAATTATCGAAGTCAAGGAACTATAACGCAGACTCAAGAAATCGATTTGGTTCACACTAGTTCATAAAAACGATATTCGTTTTCAATAGACAAATGAAAGTGGATATTGGACAATTGTTTTATTCATTATTAGATCTTATATTCGTTTATCGTAATGACTTTCCGCTATTTGCTGGTTCTGAATTTTTACATTCTATTTTGCTACTGCGATACCAATGTTTTCCAATCCTGGTTTCGATTCATACAAAACCCGGGTATTGCACAACTACTTTCTTTCCGCCAAGCTTCTCAAGGAGTTTTTGTATCAGATGCTGGAAGTCTATTGAGAACATATAGTAGGGGGTTTCCAAGAGGCATTTGGGGAACATTTTTATTTCCAGATATATATAAAGCGGCGGATGCTAATGCTTCAGGTAAGACTTTTCGTCAGTGCTGAATGAATCCTAGTAAGATAGAATTACATGTCAGCTGGCCGTGATGACTGTCATTAAGTATACTAAATGTAAACTAAAATGTATACATTTTAGTTTACACCAAAAATGCTTGGAAAAAATATAAAATCCAGCAAATTGAAGCTCACATATTTTCTATTATACATGCTAAGATTCACAGAATTAATGAATAATTATAATTATACATCTTTCAACGTTCCTATTAAAAGGTTGGAGAAATTTCTAAGTACTTAGGGAGGATTTGGGTTGATATCAGGTGGTTAAATCTAAGTGTTACTCTAGGAAATGTGGAGATAATTTCTGGAAATTTATGAAAGTTTTGAGGTTTCGGAAAAGTGCCGATTTTTCGATATAATTTCAGAGAATTTTTTACAAGAAACCACCCCTAAATCCCCCCTCAAACCCTCAGCTTCCCCCTGATTTTTTATTCGGGGCTCTCTGCACATGGATAATTCGGGTAATTTGCTGTTTCACGATATGAATACAGCAGAATACTAAATATGCAGATTGCATCTTACGTTTGTTGATATTTTAGGTTGGTTATAAACTGACTTAGGATATAACAAGCATTTCAATACAATAAGTCTATTTTACTTAGTTTATTTCACTTTTCACACTACTGGTGTGGAGTTGCGTATACAATGGCAAATATTTTTAATCCAACCTCGGTGTGGAATATCTTGAATAAGAAACTTGATTTCCAAATACCTAATTCTTCCATTTCTTGTAGGATTATTAGTCTGGAATGTTATGATCAAAGGTAATTTAGCTAAGAGTGGAAGAAAGCTCCACATACATGTTGACTACCTAATGGAACTTTATTTCAGAGCTCTTTGCAACAGATTATTCAGTGATAGCTTTCAGAGAAGAATTGCGGTTCAACGTAGATATTTGATTTCAAGTTTAACAAAAAATTTGTGATTCAGTATCCCAAGCCCTCTGAATTAAACTGAAGTCGTAGTTATGGAGTTCAACCCTAAAAAATTGCTACTTATGCCTAAGCTGGACCATTAAGTTTTGTTGGTTACTAGTTTGGTTACTCAAAGTCCCAAATAAAGTAGGCAAATTAACATTTACGTATTTTCAGCTTTTAAGTGACTATTTACTGAGACACTGTAATAAATACTGGAATGTTAATTCCTCACCTAATATGATTTAAGAAACCTCATATTCTGCAGTGGATACCGTTGAGAGCAAAATCTACTGTGCAGCCATATATTGATTGAAAAAGTGCACCCAAGCTGCTTATTGCAAGAAAGAATATTAGTAGTTACGAAGTCATCTAAATGACTGTATCGACACGATTAGCCTTGAGGTTGCAATAGACACTGTGGTAAACAACTATCAACTGTCGAAAAGTAATACATTTTCAGTCAAGTGAACAGCAGTTGTGACTTTTTGAAAGTTGCCAACATTAATTTGTCGACTTCTTTCCCGGCTTTAAGATAAACAAAATAAAAGACGAAGTCGAAACACTTTTTCCACTGGAATCATAATTTTTTGGAAGTAAGTTTTTTATCTAGTAAAGATGATGAATTAAATAATTATAAGTTCTTAAGCAGTAATCTTTTCTGTATAAAACAGAAAATATTAAATTTGAACCACGTTTATGAGGTTTATAGAATAAGTTTTATAGACACTTTCATTATGCATAAGTACACGTGTGTCACACTACTACTATAAGGACTATATATATATACTGGTGTCCATTACGTATCGTATTTATTGACGTGGAGTTGGCAGATAACTATTCTGACTGAGGAAATCTGTTGCAATGCCTGGATAGGAAAAGAGTGTAGATAAATCTTATTGTACTGATTATAACACTTTACTCAGTCTCACGAAGCGGAAGATTTTCTGAACAGTATTCATCTAAAGTGGTGACAATCTGTGGCATTCGTCACAGATTCACACTGTCACAATTTTTATTTATTTTTGATACAGATTTATTGACGGATATGGCCCCTAATGACTTCAAAATCTCAAGGACTGACCTGCTACCAATACAAAGTCTCACTGATGTAGGGCATCAAGGCATTTTATCTTTTAAAATAAGAACGCTAACATGATCAAGTCTTCTAAACACCCTGAGGAGGGCTCTGAATAAGTTGACGATCTGACTCACCCTTTTAAAATGAAAGATGATGTTACAGGATTGATGGGCATCCGTATCTGAAGAATAGGGGGTAAGATAGCTGTGTGTTGATCACTTCAACTATTCGAGGATTAGCACCAGCCCAAATGGACTGATGTTTGCTGATGAAATCTCAGAATATAAATCACGTATTCATTTAGCATTTGCTGACTTGGCTCATTTAAAACTTCAGTTTTACGTTCATCTGAAGAGAATGTGTGTACTGTACTGCAATTTGATCCTTCCATTTTCAAAGCTGTGAGATATGGCTACTAAAAGCAGAGGATATGTAAAGTTTGGCAATATTGATCATAGTTGCCTGAATTCACTCTCTAGTCTGAAGCGTGGTGATGAGGTCAGCAACTATAAGATTATGCCTATAGTGTTAAATAAGGAGAGAAAATAGTTCAACAAGGTTGTGAACATGAATCAGTTGATATGACTAGGGCTTGTGCTATGCATACACAGCCACCACCTTTCCTGATGATCACTGCTGGCAGAAGTAACAGTCGGTTGGTGAATAGTTACATACAGTCTGTCAAAAATATGGTACCAGTCTAGGAAGTCCTTCACTGTTGATTTTAGCCACATAGGGAGTTATAGACTTCCTAGCTGTGGTCCTGACGATTTTGAGAATTAGTGGTTGTAGATCTCTTCTTTTTTTATTCCTTCACGTTCCCAGTGGAACATAGGGCTTCAAGCTAGTGGCTTGAAGTTTCTGTAGCAGTGTTTATTTTACAGGATGGGGTTGCTAGCCTGATGCCCAACCTTTCCTCTTTACCAGCTTTTATTTCTGGCTTAGTGAGGTAAAGGAGTGCGTCGGCCGGAGATCGAACCCCGGACCATGTGCATGGTCGGCGAACGTCCTAACCGCTATGCCACCGACGCAGATCTTTCTGGTACGTCGAAAAGTCATCAGCAATCAAGTAGATGTATTTACTCCAGTTTTATCCTTCAGATTCTGAAATTCTTGACTAATTTTCATCTAATCGTTCTCTCACGAGTGCGTCTTCATCCACTTTGGTCCTATTACATTCTTTACTTTATTTTTTTGAATGCTTGAACTGAAACATTCCTGTGCCAAGGTCTGCAGTGATTTGTCAGTCTATACATACCATCTGTCAAACAGAAACACGAATTTTGACATAATCTTCTGTAAACTATGAAATGTAATGATCTATATTTTGTACACTTTTACTTAACAAGATATAAGTTGTTTAAGACATGTAGTAAAAGGGGTACATGGGAATCACCTTCTGTCAATGCCAGCATTTTCCACTGTTCCTTAGTCTCTGGTCATGAAAAAATACGAGAACCACTCAGGATACAGAGCTCTATCCTAATAAAAATACATTCTGCATTTGTGGTATCTTCGATTCTTTCAGTGACCTTTCTGCCCTATTTTCTGCAGCAAGAATCTGATTTAAATTTAGAATTTGATTTAAAACATTCACTGGATTTAGGTCGGTTCACATTAGGTTACCACAAACTCATTTCTATTCGATAGATGACTAGTTAGTTCCCATGATGCCTGTAGCATAGATGGTACAGAAATTGAAACCAATTCAAGCATTAAATACCTTGGATTAGTTCTTTCCTCGGACCTTTCATGGTCATCTCACATTTTATTGGTCTCTAAGAAAATGTTTCGTCTTACCTTCTACATTAAAAAGTTAAGACAACAAGGTATCAGCCAACCTTTAGTTCTGCGATTTTTAAACTCCTGTATTTTACCCATTTTACTTTATTGTTCTCCATTAATCTTCCCTGGGCTTCTTAAAAAAGACTATGCCGTATTACGAAGGGTATTAAATGCTGTGAGTAGGGCTTGTGGTTTGTCACTGCGTGATCTCGCCAATACCATAGTCGAGAGACACGTAAATTCCTGTAAAAATTGGGCAAAGGCCGTACTGTCAGACCCTCTGCACCCTCTTTATTCACAATTATCCCCTTGTATCTCATCAGGTAGAACGAGAAGTCAATATAAGAAATTATATGCTCGTACCACTAAGTACAAAAATTCTACAATACCGTACTTAGCCCGTATTTTATGTGATGAAGACACTGTTAGACGTGAAACATATAAGTTACTATGTAATTAGCATAGTGAATCGACCCTTTCATTGTTCATCTTTCTGTAATTCTATGGTGTCACCCTTTCTATCGTTTAATTATAACTTTGCTATTTTTATTTTAGTTGTTATTACTATTATTACTATAATTTTATATTTTTCTCCTTATCCTATACTGTAATTGCTACATAGCTCCTATAAAAACGTTTTGTTATCATTATTATGTATTAATTATTCCGTTTATCTATTTTTTTTTTGTTTGTTGTTGTCGTTTTTGAGTAAATTAGATGCAATACTGTACTGAATGCTGAAAATTCCTTGCTGTATCATTAATACTGTTTTTGGAATAAAGCAAAAATTATTATTATTATTCTAGATTTACTGACTTACCAGAGTAACATTTCAAGCCATCAGGCTTCAGTAAAGCACACATAATAGTGAGAAAAGAACGGGATAGAAACTACAGCGGATGAAGATGCACACGGGAGAGAATAGTTACATGAAGATTGGTGGATATTTTCATAACCTGAAGTGTGATAAGGAGTTAATACATCCACAGTGTAGTCAATGTTGACTACTGCTAGCAAAAGTTTAATCCTAAAATTTCCTCAGCTTTCAAGAACTTTTCCTCTAAGTTACGGAATAGGTCATTTTTAGTACGGAAATGCGTTCTACATTAGACTTAGGAGAAACATTTCTCCTATTTTTTTCGAAAATTGATGCATGAGGTCTGGCAAGTTGCTTGTGAGGACAAT